TACAGAATTTCACTTGTCACGTCGTATGCGGGTTATCGTCCAGCGAGACGATTGTCGGCCGAGGGTGGTGCGGGGGAGGTTGTCTTTCGACACTGCGCTCTCGTCGCACGCGTGCGGTTTCGTACTTTCTCCCATTTCCGCTTCCATCTCGCGTTCTTCGCGATCTTATATTACTGGCGCGCAAATACGCCGATATGTTTTACCAGTAAATATCAAAGTGTGAAGTTTATATTTCTTAAATACCTTTTCATCAAGATTCTTTTGCAATTTATCTTAAAAAGACAGCAAATTACGTATATTAATTGTTATAATTAATAATTATGAGGAAATACTATTTTTATAGTAAATTGTGCGAGAAATACATTTAGGTAAGAGAGATTTTTTTATGAGTGCATAAATCGTAGATAGATTTATGGCTTTATAGAGAGAAAAGTTATGTGTTTTGTAAATTTATTGATTGAAGTTAATGCACTTTGTCTCTCTCTCTCTCTCTCTTTTGCTGATAAGCTAGTTGGTAAAATGTGGGCTGGTTGAAACTGACACTCGAAAAAAATATGAACGGCAAAGAGTAAACTCACCATCAATGACGCAAAATTAGAATTAATGGGCCTTCTGTAAAGTGAAAGCGTAGCTGCACCGCTTGGATATGTTTACGGTTGGGCCCGCAGCTGTCAAGTCGGAAGATTTACATCAACGGAAATATAAATTATCGTGCTGGATTGACAGCGATTTCCCGAGAAAATCTCTTATATATACACAGATGTGGTATCATTAATTTATCTTTCTTCCAATATGATAGGAAAGAGTAAAATTATATGTTTTTTGTACTAGTAAAGATATTATACGTACAAATATATAAAATAATGATGATATGTAAATCTGTCATGCGATAAAAGTAATAATATTGAAATTTCAAAGTTAACAAAAATTAGTTTATTTACTTGGCATCTCAAAAGTCTAAGATTCATATTTGCATTTGATTCTTATTTATTCATCAAATGTTCGTTAAAAAAAGAATAATTAAATACAATTTTATCTTTAAGAAAAGCCAACAATTTCTCACATTTTTATTATTTTATAAATTTAGTTTTTAGAAGATATATATGTATTCATATGCAAAACCGTGGTGGACAATATCAAATTACAGGTAAAACGATCTTTTTCGAGCAACGCAGCGGCCTACGCGTTTTTGATGTCAAAAAAACCACAGGAAAAAGACTCGTATACTACAATTCCAGCTCATGACTGATAACCCCAATCGGTTGCAGCGTTGTGCGATAGCAAAGAGGAATTTCCGCGCTCGGTAAATGTACCATAATCGAGTGATGAACACGGCTGCCATATATTTTTTTTTCAGACGATGAGAGAGCCGGGCGAGCACGTGGTAATAAATCCCGGCCGGCATCGCTAATTTTCGGAATCGTTGTATGCGCGTACGCAAAATGTTACCCGCACACACAATGCCAGACAGGTGCATCGTTAGTCGTTACCGCGCTAGAGAATCGCGTGGACAAGGGTACGACGATGAAATCGTAGTACATATATCTGTGGCGTACATACGAGATACCGACACTGTTTCCGAACCGGCCGATCGTGTCCTTGTAAGTTTTATCGAAGCGATGACACGTTTCGCGCGAAATTTATTACCGCTGCCGACAACGGTTGTATCTCGATTGCGAGACGTACAGGCCGGGCACGAGTGGCCTTTTCAAGTACCAGTCTGATGTATTTCGTTGATTAAGGCACGTTAATTTTCTTGCCGTGAAAGACGCGTTTTTTATGACGATGCGCCTCCGCGACATTATTAAACATTAAGTGCGTACGCTCCGGGGCGTCGCGTGAGATCAGAAAAAAGCTGATACGTCTCGTAAATTCCATGGCGTCTGTTTCACTTTAATATGTTTCACGATAGTTATTATTATTCTAAATACATTGCGTTCGACATGCACCTTAAAAGTGTTTCTCAGACCGAACGAGGTAATTACAAACCAAATCGAGATCGAGAATTAAATGACGAAAAAAAAAACCATATTGCAGCAAGTGTAATTTCGCAAAATGCAATTTGATTGGGGAAAGTTAAAACGCCGTTGTTTTAAAAATATAATTCTTGCAAAAATAATGGCTTTCGCAAATGGCCTTTTGATCGGCAAAGAAATAAAAAACGTACTTCATTTCGGGAATTAAGCATCGTAATGTTGCAGACCGCGAATTGCATTGCGTAACAACACAGGTGTTATATAGCCAGATAAATATTACTGTTTCTTGAATTTGTGAATTTTAATTAATGCAGTTTACCACAAACATTGCGTTCAAAGTTCATCCGTGCAATTTATCTTTAATCACAACACTCAATGACACGTATATTTCTTAACTTCTTCTCGTTGTTGATCGATTGTTATCGCGAATCAAAGTGAAAGAAAGCGATATTTTCGTTAAGCACGTCTATCGACGAGCATCCCTTTCAAAAGCGACTGCGAAAAGAATTCTTCCGCGAAGTTCGTCTGCAGCGAATTTCTTCGTGAGCTGCATTTACAAAGAGTTCAACTACGAGGTACATTAGTCGAGATTATATCCGGCAAAGGAAGTCGACCAACTTTCGAAGACACTGTTGCAACTAAATCTCTTCGAATCTGGCGACGTCCAAAGATATCGAACTTCTGTAGATTCAGCAACAAATACACCAAACGCAACACAGTAGATCGTAAAGCGAAAAATATGCGCCGTAGAATGCTTTATTGCGAATAAGATATGTTTTCTAGATACAGTTCCGTATAAAGAAAACGAAAAGAGAACGAAAGCACTGCACCGTTTCTTCGACTTTGTCGCCAAAGTTATTTTTATAAATCTAGAATATATATACATATCTTCGCAAAAATATATATACATATCTATTCTACTAAACACGCTTGATATTTTTCAAAGTAAAATTATTATGAGAGAGATTTATTTGCCCACATGATATCGTATTACAAGTACTTAGACGATAGAGAAGAATGACACAGGACAGAAACCGACGCTGTAATTGATTTAGAGTGAACAGTAGGCGACCCTACTTCCAACCTTCTCTATTATAAGTACTTGGGTACGTGTATGTTTCGCGAGTCACACGAAAATCACAATAACCACACGAATACAATATATTTGAGACAACGTTATTGCCATTTCAAATAACAATTTTAATAAATTTCTTTTACAATATAATAACACTTTACGAGTTTTCGAGTATTTGATGTTAATATCCGCGTTGTCCTTTTCAAGATAAATGCACAAAGGTCTAATATCGTACCACCTACTGTCGCAAGTTCTAATGCCGTGCTATTCGCATCTTAAACTAACGATAATTCGCGAACTTCCGACAAGATTTGCGATCTGAGAAATCGGAGAGCTGATTATCCGTTTTCACAGTGCAGATAGATCAAGAAAAGTCAGCCGTTATCTCTTTGCGGCTCCATTTCTAGACGACGTTTCAGGCGGCGTAATGAGTTACGGCGTCACGTTGGATTTGCAAGTGAGACGAGTCAACCAGTTGCTTGGATTGTCTTTGCCTTTGTACGGCCAGTTGCACAATACCGCTTTCGATTTATCGTTCGATTTATTAGTTTCTCCTGTCTCGTTAATTACTTTCCCGTCGTAGAAATTCTGGTGTTGTAAAGCTACCGACTTTCGCGCATACAGAATCCCGCGTATGAGTTACATCAAATTTGCAAGTGAAAAGAGTACAACCAGTTGCGCCGTTTTTCATTCGCCTCACATCATTATTTAAATTTGTCTCCATTCATTCTTATTGTCATTCTACTTTTCTTCTGAATCGTCATATCGTATAAACTATTAATAAAAGCACCAGAGTCGATTAAAAAACGGTGTCCATCTCTCAACTAACGCCGGAGAATTAAACCACGTAAATGTAAATTTATGAATCCTGCAATAAAGTTTACTGGATAACATCCGTAATGAAATATAACGACCAGTGTACAATGAAATGTCATTTGTGCAATGAGAGCCGGAGTTGAAAGCCATGTAAACAATTTCAGGGTACTGCGTCATATGACATCTAATACTTGTATCGCGACTTTTTATATTTTTGCCACTTAATCGATATTAGTTAATTAATCATAAACTGGCTGAGTAAAGATGTGGAAATAAATGCCACGCGTTGTTTCTAAGAAACGATACCGCGTTCTAATGTAGACATAGATTGAGAGGAAAATGAGAGACAGAAATCATGATTTACCGAGTTCTTTCAAGGCAATAAATCAAGTGTTACTTAAGAACATCATAATCGTGAAGGATAGTTCGATAGAAGGACACATCACACACGTATGAACTAACTTTACTTGCCCAAAATGTCTTTATATATATATATATATATATCTACATATATGTATGTTACTCGAACGTACTTATCGATCGTTACAATTGATAGTGAATCACATTTGTTTATAACCGTCATACAGATATCTGTACATAATGTCTAAACCAGCAATTATTAAATCTGACCGATCAGTTGACGATCGGTCAATTCCTAGAATAACATAAGTGCGTCAACAAAGCGTTACTCATTCCCAATAAATTAAAAGATTTTGAAATCAATGTATGTAAATATTGCATATTATTCACGTTTTTCATAACTAAATAAAAGTATAGTTTTCAATCATACTGAATCTACAGTTGCACGTGTTGAAACAAAAACTGCTAATATCAAAAGAATCTATGCGTATTTGCAACGCGTAATTTTACAAATAATAAATACATGTAGCACATACAATTAATCAGTCTCCTACACTAATATTTCCACGAGCATTACGAGTGTAGTTGCATCGGTTAATCGCCGATTGATCTCGCTTTTTTTCCGCGAGCGGTATACCGCTATGTGACACGCGAAGAAGCGGTATCTCTCGTCGGGACGTGAGAAGTGCAGGATGCAAAAGTAAAAGAACAAAAGCACGTGCGTGCCTGCGTGCGTTCGTGCGTGCGTTGAGATGTTACATATGAATATTTACCGGTAAGGTTATCACCGCGCTGCTGCGGCCATCGGAAAGAAGGCCTGGGCTGCTGCTTGCTTCGCATATCTTCCGTCCACTGCGGCGGCTCCGAGCCGCTCGCTTTTCTAACGATCGGAGACCACTACTTACCTGAAACGGAACAAACAACAAGATTACAATATAAGATTTTTATAACTTAGAAATATATTGTATAGAAACGCATGAAATTCTTGTCTAAGAAAGTACTTCTCCGAAATTTTCTCTAGCATGCTCTTTATGGATAATTTTAGTATTTTAGTTTTTTTTTCAATACGCAGTATGAAAGAAAAAGCTAAAACCGGAACAAAAAGCAAAAAGGAGAAAAGCGAAAGAGAGACAGAGAAAAAATGGAAAAAAAGATTGATGGATGGATGAAAGCATAAAACTGACGTATAGGATCGAAAACGTACAGGTAGTTAAAATTCTATAGATCTGATGGTGAACTTCTAAATTTACTATTTCACTGTGACAGACTGTCCAACTTGGTCTCCAGTCGAGAGAAAAGTGCATGTTTCCTTTCACGAACGTTTAAATTGATCGAAAAATTGATCTTTTTCTGTTCTATTTTTATCATTTTCTCAAAATGTTTTTTAACAAAGTGTTAGTATATTACACTATATTCAAATAAAAAAGTAATAGAAGAATTTACATTAAGAAGTGCCACTTTGAAGAATCCTTAAAAAATAATTTAGAATACAAAGAAGTATAGAAGTAGTTTAAAACATATAAATCGAAGATAGATTTGCCCAACATTGTTCGAAAATTTGAATGTCCTTACTGACAGCATAGCATGAATTATTGAATAGTAACAATTCTAAACGTAACCGACTGCTCTATCGCTGTGGTGTCGACCCAAACTTCAATGTATTCGCATTACAACATTCTCACTTCTCACAATAAGTAAATAGCAGAAAAACTAGTGTGAGAGATATTTTGTCGTAAAATTATCGGTAAACAAACGTAACAATGGAAAAACACAAAAAAAAACATGAAAACTTAAAAATATGACTTGGATAGATTTTGCACAAAAGAAATTTGTGTCATATCTATAGATTTATTTCTAATAACGTTTATGTTTACTATGTTTTTCAATTTATTTATTTTTTTTATCATATTGTACATTAAAACTTAAAAAAATGTAATTTCGTGAAACTTTTAATTTTTAATTTTTCAAATAATTTTATTGTCAAAAACCTAGAAACAAAAAGTATCAGCAATCAATACTGTAACCTCTATTCTTCTTAGTTTAACTTCTGGTATACATAGTTTAAAAAAAGCTACAACTTTTAAGACAGTTTATATTGAATACGAAGGTGATATATTGCCCGCCAAACACTGATCGCTACTAAGAAAATCCACGCTTTTTCATGGCGAGTTTCCCAATCGACGCAACGCTCTCCTGATCCTCGAGAGACAGAGAGAGCCACCCTCCTCGACGCGTTTTTGCGAAGGGTGCCAAACCTAGGATCGCATCCCGCGCGCGTCGCAGTTTACTTCTCTCTACTCCTCCTCATCCCTTAACCGCCCGGTACCGACCATCGTAACCAGCCGTATATCTTTCCGGCGTACGCCCTCGAAAGCGGCCGCCTTTGTTTCAGATATTTATGAGGCGTTTTAATTCGCACGCCGCGTCACCCAGCCGGAGGGGGGAAGAGTTCCGAACGGGTGTCGAGGGGGTGGCAGGCGCGGGGATGCCGCACAGTGTGACGGAGCGGGGCGCGAAGGCATAATAGGCATAAGGGTGCCCCGATAAAACGCCAACCAACCTCCCTCCCCTCCCCCTTCTACCTTCCTTTTTCCAGACGTAGGCCATAAGCGCAAACAAACTCTCGCTCGTATATCTCGGCTCAATGGTTTCTACGTCGGTGCGCCAGGGGCGTACTGTATCGTGCCGCCATCGCCCTCCTTCACTTCTCTGTCCCTCGTCACTCCTTCTTTCTGAGAAACCTCTCGCCGCTCTCTACGCCCACCTTTCGACCCTTCACGCGAGTCGAGGAAATTCCTTAACCCACATTCTGGTCAATATATATTGTTCAAATGATTTACCGTGATGTTCTTTAATATTCTTCATTCTACGCGAGTTCGCTACTTACATTCGTTATGAAAAACTCGTGAGCGCAAGCGTCATTCTTTGTTTTCTACAGTATTATGCTAACAAGTTTGATTGATCTAATTCAAAATCGACATCTCGATGTCTGAAAGAATTCTCGGATGTGTCATGTTCCGCGCGATTGTTTTTCAGCAATTCTTGCACCGAGTAACTGTTATTATTTACGACTACAATGTTGTTCTTCAAAAACTTTGAAAGTGTACATACACACACAAAGAAAAAGTGAAAACGAATTGAATAAGAATTCTGTCGGATTTTTTGCGTATATCTTAATACACAGACTATATAACTCTTTTAAATCGATCGAAACATTTTAAGATAATTCTTCATCGAGCGCGATCAATTCGAATACAATCGCTAGTAGAATCGCGTTAATAAGTCCCGACTAAGTGCACGTTTTTAGGAGCACACTACATTCGTTTCCCTGATTCACGATCTCAAGTCTGTACGTCCCTTTACAACACACCGACGTCTGCGTCCACCTTCCATGGTCTTCTACCAGCCAACCACTTCCACCTCATTCCCCTCCGACCCCCGTCGTGCCACGACACGCTGGAGAGGCAGCCGCACTCCTGCTCATGCTCTTCTTTACGTGCAGGCGAGTTTAACAGTAACAGTACGTCACCCTGTCACTCTTACCCTCCCTCTTCCTCCCTCAATCTCACTCTCGCCCTCTCTTTCTTCTCTCCTCGTGGCGTATCGTTCCGTCTCCTTTCCCTGGGTCGCTGTCTCTCTCGCACTCTCCTTAACAGCCTTCACTCTCTAAAAGCCTGGGTGTGATCTATGGCGGGACGTTGCGTCACTCGGGGAACAGATGCAGGGCTCGTATATTACTCGGCCATATCTACGAGCAAGACGGCGAAGAAGGGAAGGGAAGTGCGGGGCGGGGGTGCGGAGAGGGTGAACCTTGCCGTACGGTCAAAAGAATGGCGAACGTCACAAATCACTCGGCTTTTGTGTGACACCCACCAACCCTCGCACGAATTTTTTCTCCCCGGGGTAAAGAAAATTTACTTGTTGACGAACAGATTCCAGCTGAACTACCGTGGCAAAAGTGCGCGCGCGAAAGATTGTTTTAAAAATTGGATTTTTCGTAACCACGGAATTTTATCGCGCTGACTGACGCAATCGAAGGCGAAAAGGTAAAGTTTAATCTTTCCCGTTGAAAAGTTTATTCGAACCCGACGTCGCTTTAATTACATCAAAACTAACGTCGATCTGATCAAAGTTCAGACCTTCGCAATCTCCACGATCTCCGCGAAACGTTTTCAGATGTGAAGTGGATTATGTACTTGTCTTTGATACACATTAATCGTCATTAAGCGAGTGTCAGGCGACAACACCACGTTGTAGATCGCATTAATATCACCACGGCATACTAAAAATACCTTGCAAATGTTTCGCAAATATCAATTTGACTTCTCCGACCATCGAAATAGCCAGAGAGAGAGAGAGAGAGAGAGAGAATAACGCGCTTCAATGCGTAGCGACAATGAAAAAGATGATGCCGTCGCTCGTTCCGGCTGAAAGATATCCGTGAGTGCCAGACATGTTTTGACTGAGAAAGAATTGATAAGATGCCAAAGCAATTGTATCTAGTACGCGCAATCGAGGGCTCGTCAGTCGACTAATTAGGACGCTGTTCTCGATACATATCGCAAGATATGTACCGAAATAAGTTTTCGCTTTTCGCGAGCGCGCGGACAAAAGCGCGGAAATGAACGAAATGTAGTGAGAATTCCACGTGCGGGAGCGTCTCCGTTGTACGTGCGCTCGTGGAAACACTAGCCAGCTGTCTGCGAGAAAGCAGAAAGGGAAACGAGAGAGCGGGGAAAAGGCAGAGAAGGAGACAAGAAATGAGAGGAAGAGAGAAAGAGAGAGAGAGAGACCGAAAACGCGCGCGTCGGTAGAGTAGACGCTTCCAGAATCTCATAAATCAGGTCAGGGTTGGCGACGAGGGTGGATGCCGTGGCGCGGTTGCAGTGAGAGGAAGCGAGGTGGCTATAATGCGGGAGGGTTGTTAGGTAAAGGTCGACGCACAACAGTTCTATGCCAGGCATGGTTACGTGCGCGCGCATACTCGTAAAATGTTTGGCGCCAATTCCATTCAACGGAGTGAATTCGTATGACGAAGAGAGACACATCTCGAGTGGATCTTTTTGAAACTATTAAATAGGACAGCTCTGTATGTGTTTTTAATGTCAAGGAATATTTCACTGCATATTTCGAAACAACTTTTGAATTAAGAGTGTTTATACAAAGTGGCTGCAATTTATTATAAATAGAAAAATCGCAAAATGTAAGATAAATAAAATTGGAACTGTTTACACAGAAGTATATATCAGAAATTGGCAAATGCAAAAATTGGCGCAAAAGAGATGCGGAGAATAATCTGTGATTATATTGCGCTATCGATGCCACGAACAATACTTTGTTACATACTTGTCGACAAAGATTGATTTATAAGTAGCTTAATAAAAAGCTGGGATTTAGCGATATCAGTACTGCATCTTGCAGCGTGTCCAGAGGAAGGGGCAATGTCGGTCGCGTTACTTATTATCGTCACATCTGCGTAATATTCGCCAGCCCGCAGCACGCCGTAAGGCGACTCGAAAGCGTAAAAAGAAACTCATATACACGCGTCGATCGATACAGAAGACTTGACGAAGAAGCACAGAGATAAAAGAGAGAGAAAGAGAGAACAACGACGTCGGAGAAGCTTCGGAGGGACCCCAGATGGAATCAGTGCAGTTCGGAATATTGGAAAACGTCGGTCCGCGCGAGAAAGGAGAGAGAAAGACCGGAAGACAGCGAAGTGCGAGCGGGGTACTATTTATGACGCGTACGTGAATTCTGAGAACATTGGGGATATGCCGTGTTCGTGTCGTGCTATCGCCGAAGAAAAAGAACAATAGACGCTCTCGACGAGGGACGTGAACAACTGGCTCCAAGGCTCTACATACAGGTCTGCGAGATACTCGACCGAACATGCACGTCCCCA